GATCATCTACCATTATTTTTATTTATTATTTTTAATATCACTTGAGCTAAACTTGAGCTAAAGCGTATGAGCCGTCAGGATTATTTTAGAATGTGCATGAAGGAAAAGAATTTTTTAGAAAAGAACTAATGAAAAGAAATTTGTTCTTTTTTTTTTCCAATTCTCACCTAAGACACTCATTATTTCAAAGTGGGCATCCATAATACAGTTCTTTAATTTGTTGCTTGTAGAAAGAGGTAGTTTAATAATTTTAGCCATTTTTAGTTATAGGCAAACATTTTAAGTTTTTAAAATGTTTTTTTTTTCACTAATTTTAAAACTTAATTCAAGGTAGAATCAAGATAGAAGAGATTTTGTAAAGCCTTTATGCTTAAATTAATGAGGAAAAGGATACTTTAATATTCTTCATGGTATAGAATAAACAAAGGAGCTCTGGTGGCATAGTCTGTTGGGGGCTTAGCTGCTCACCCAAAGGCTGTACCAGTCTGGCCAGTTCAAATCCACCAGTGGCTCTGGGGGTGGGGTGGGGAAGATGAGCAATCTTCTCTCATATGATTTATAGCCTCAGAAACTCAGTAAATGGTCAGTTGGTTCTAATTAATCAGCAAGAAGTTTTGAGTGAGGATAGAATAATATAGTCTTTAGAGTAAGATGTGCTAGTTTTTGCCATTTAACTCTTTGTCTTTAGCTTATACATTCTCTAGGTCTTGGTCCCCTCAATTATAATTGTTTTTTATTGCCTTTGAGTCAAGGGTGACTCATAATAATCTTATAAAGAAAAGGCCTGAAGCCTCTTCTATAACTATCGACATTTATCAAAGTTCATAGAGTATTCAGAGGCATGTTGTTTAGGAAGTGGATGCCACTCCTGCTTCCAAACCTGTCTTAAACTGGGAGCTCCACCAAACACTGTCCACCATGGGTAACCATTATAGCGTTTGACACCCCAGCGGTACAAAGTTCAGAATCACAGCAACCCCAGGTTACCTTGGTACAGTATATTGACAGAAGAGTGCTGTACCCTTAGAAGATTGTTCCTCCAAAATATAATAACAATTAACTTTATATCTTAGGGTGTTTTTAAGTAATAGGTAAGATCATATACATAAACATTCTGACATATTTCAAGTATTCAATTAATAGTTGTTATATTGAATTATATATTATTTTAAATTATTTATCATTTAATTGACAAAGTGAAGATTCTTATTCAATTATATTTTATAATATTTATCCAATGATTGCCAGTTTTGATCTGTAATCAGAAAATTCTTTATCCACTCCAAAATCTTCTAATTTTTGTACTTTGTGGGCTTCAATATTGTTGTGATGCTGAAAGCTGTACCACTAGTATTTAAAATACCATCAGTCACCCATGATAGACAGGGTTCAGTGGAGCTCCTAGACTAAGGTAGATTAGGGAGGATTTGCAGATCTCCTTGTGAAAAAATTGTCCAGTGAATGCTTTATGAATAACAGCAAAACATTACAAGATATAATGACAGAAGATGTACAGCTTAAGTAAGATATTACAATGAAAATAATATGTGAAGCATGAATGCAAGAAAAAACCTAAATTGTTAAAAATCAAATGGATACTAATGAGATGAAATGGAATGGTTTAAGCCACCAGGTTATTATATGCTTGGGCTACCATGCTAGTAATGACAAACTGAGAGGGAACAATAGAGCATTCATAATAATGGGGGGGGGGACACCCAACACATTTTAAAATCTATGCTGAAGTAAAACACTGCTAGAGATAAGATAATATGCATATACATAAAAGGAAGGCAGGTCAAATCCTTCAAATTTACATAATGGCAAGTATGATCAAAGACAAAGAAATTAAGTAACTCTTTACTGGGAAAAAGACATTATGCTTGGAAAGGTTGAGGGTCAAGGAAAGAGAGAAAGACCTTCAACGGGCTGGATTGATACACTGACTCTAGGCTCAAGTGTGTCAGAGACAATGAGGATGACACAGGACAGGACAAGGTTCAGACTTGTTGTTCATAAGGAGGCTATCAGTTGTACTTGACTTCATAGTCAACTTTTGTAACTGAAATATTTAAACAAGTGAACAAGATACACTGATAATTACTGGTGATTGCAATGGAGAAGTTGGAAATAAGTAATCAGAAGTTGGAAAGTATAACCTTGGTGATAGAAACAGCACTGTAGATCACATGAAAGACATTTTCAAGACCTATTCATTGGAAATATCCTTTAACATTAGTGACAACTATATGGGAACCTTGCCAGATAGAATACATAGGAGTTAAATCAATTACATCAACGGAAAAGAGAAGCTTAACATTATTAGTCAGAAATAGGTGAGACCATTTGGAATAAGGAGTTCCAGTGGCTTGCTGGTAATGAACTGTGCACCAATCCCAAAGGCTTGTGGTTTGAATCCACCAGCTGCTCTGCAGGAGAAAGAGAAGCAATTTTCTCTCATGTGATTTACTGCCCCTGAAAAATTCTTGAAGCATGAGCTATGAGTTGGTGCTACCTCAATGGCACAACACCACCACCACCACCACCACCAGTCTGTGGAATAGAACAATTGTTTCCATGCAGGTACAAGCTGAAGGTGAAGAAAATAAAAATTACTCCACAAGAATTAAAGTCTAATCTCAATTATGTCTCACGTAAATTGAGAGACCTCCTCAATAACAAATTTGATGAAATGAAAAGTAATTACCAAGATCTATTCAAATTGAAGAATGGTTTTAGGATATTATACATGGGCGGGGGGAAGCAAAAGGTAATTAAGGTAGGAAGAGAAAAAAAAAGATACCAAAAATTAGTGTTGGAAGATATGCTGAAGCTTGTTCTTATATTTAGAGTGGATAAAGTGAAAAGAAGAAATGGGAATGTAAACTAGCTGAAAGGAAAATTTCTAAAGGCTACTTGAAAAGACAAAATGAAGTATTATAATGAAATGTGCAAAGATCCAAAGTCAGAAAACCAAAAGGCAAGAACACAAACAACATGTCCCAAATGGAAAGAACCTGAGTGGGGGGGGGGGGAAAATCAAATCTTGAGAGGCAATTTTGAAGAATTGTTTGGGCAAAATATTGAGTGTAACACAAATATTAGAAGAATATATAGATTTACTGTACAAAAAATTGGCAACTGTCCAATTATGTTATGATGTAGCATATGATCAGGAATTGATATTGAAAGAAGTCCAAGCTGTACTAGAGGGAGTGGTAAAAAACACGGCTGCAGGAGCTGATGGAATACCAACGGAGATGTTTCAATAAACAGATGCAATGTTAGAAATGTTCACACATTTATAAGAAGTTTGGCCAAACTGTTAAATATCCACATTTATGTTTATTTAAAATAAGGCCCTAATTACAATATGAAAATTATTGAACAGTATTGTTGGCATCACACAAAAATAAAATTTTGTTCAGGAAAATGTAAAAAATGATTGCAAGAACGCATCAGGAAGGAATTAACAGGAATATAGTCAGATTCTGTTGAGGATACAAAATAAGGCCTATCATTGCTAATGTAAGATTTTGGCAGAAAGATAGAACAAAACACCCAGAATGATACTTACTTGCATTTTACTATGTAAGGCATTCAACTGTCTGATCATAGCAAAGCATAGATAACACCACAAAAAAAAGGGGGGGGGGAATTCAGGAACACTTAATTGTGCTCATACAAAATCTGTACATATAATGAAGTAGTCAACTGAACAGAACAAAAGGATACTGCATGGCTTAAAATCTGCAAAGCTATGCATCAGGGTTGTCTTTTCACTATGCTTCTGCAGTTTATACGCTAATCAAATAATCCAAGAACTGGAATATATGAAGAATAAAATATTGGGGTTGGAGGGAGACTCATTAATAACCAGTGCATTAATTACCATGTACAAATGATATTATCTTGCCAGCAGAAAGCAAAGAGGGCTTGAAGACTGATGAAGATCAAAGACGTCAGTGTGCATTATTATACCTCAACATGGAGAAACTAAAAATGCCTTTGAGTGGCCCAATAAGCAACATCAGACAGAGAAATAATTGAAATCGTCAAGGATTTTATCTTACATGGATCCATAATTAATGACTTTAAAATGGCAATTAAGACATGACATACTGTGTTGGGCAAATGTGCTACAGAACTCTTTAAAGTGTTAAAAAACAAAGATGTTACTTTGAGGAGTAAGGTGCACTTGACCCAAATCATTGCATTTTCAATTTTTCTCATATTCATACAAAAGCCAGAAAATGAATAAGGAAGACAAAAGGAGAATTTATACATTTGAATTACTGTATTGGTGAAGAATATTGAAAATAGTCATCTATGACTTGACAACACCTAACAACAAAGACAACAAAAACAACAACAACAATAGCAACGAAAGAACTCTGTTGGCCTAGTGGCTAGAAAGTGATGCTACCAAGCCAAAGGTGGGTGATTTTAATCTGTGGCCTTTAGGCCTGGTTTTGTCTTTGATCATTCTTCTAAGTGGAATAGCACTGGTTTGTCCATTTGTACAGAGGTAACTTGTGGTTGCTGTGATGCTAAACACTATGACAGTGATGTGTCAAGTGCAATAATGGTTATCCGTGGTGTACAGTGTTTGTTGGGGCTCCTTGATTAAAACAAGCTTGGAAGCAGGAGTGGCATCTACTTCTGAAATAGTTTGCTCCTGGAAACTTGTAGAAATGATGAAACTTATACAAGTGTTCAGGTCTATTTTCTTTAGAAAATAATTTATCAGATTTCACATTCACAATTACCCTGAAGAAAAGAACTGGTACTTGAGACTAAGGAAGGATAATTCTATGTAACTGATTAAATTTGTTGAAGAGAAAATGGAAAATATGGTCTTATAAATAGTTGAATCTCATTTCAATTAACATTGCTAGCGCATCTAATTTATAAATAACAAGAGGGAACTCCAACATTTACAATTCTTTATGAAGAAATTTTTTTTAAAGTTAATATGAGTCCTTCATTAGATTACTTACTCTTCTTCCTTTTGGACCTGGAATTCCAGGTGGTCCTCTTGTCCCAACATGACCCTACAATTGAAAATAAGTTACAGAATTAAAAGAATGTTATAGAATGGTAGTCATGGCATTCCTTATGCTATGCAACTATATATGTTTTTAAAACTCCACAACTCTCTCCCTTGTTATTCTGCTTTTGATGTATTCTGCTACTTGGACAATGTCATTTCTCTTTGCCTAACCAAAGAATAAAACACCAAAATGCAAGCCCACTGCTGTTGACTAGATTCTAAATCACAGTGACCCTCTATAATATGAATCTGTAGAAATTTGTCATAGGAGAGGGCCCATCTTTCTCCTGCAGATCATGGATTCAAGCTGCTGACCTTTATGTTGGCAGCCAACACATTATGGACTATGACAGCTAAGGCTTCCTAACCAAAATATCTCTGTATTGCTGAAGTCAGACCTGACTTTCAGAGATTTGAGATTTATTTATTCTTTTATTTGAGTTAAAGAAATTGGTAAACTACACAGTATCCTATATTTTCTAGTTTTAGAAGCCAACAACACATTTATGTATATATTAGAAAAATTAGGTTTCTTTTTAAAACAGAAACTTCCTTATATTTTTGTTAAGAATCATTCTGCTCAGGAGCCTAAAGGTTGATCTTTTGGATAGTGAAGTTCACCATTAACCACTAAATTCAAATAGACAAAATTTATCTCTTTAAATGTAAGATTTCATCATTTTTCCATAAAAATGGATTATTTTCAAAACACAATTTTATTTGCTGAAACACATTTTTTATGAGTGTTATTTGGCTGTTGGAAGATATTTGAGAATTCCTAAGAAAACTATTGGAATGTATGCTTTTTTGTTTATGCATTGGTTGGTCTTTTACTCTTAATTAATGATCCTATTTTTTATATATAGTTATTTAAAATAGAATGATATTTGAACATTTCAGTTTTTGGCTTTCTCATTAAAATTAATTGTATGGAATATTAGAAGCTAACAACAAATACTATAGCCAGGAGAGGTGAGGAAGTTCAAGAAGGCATCATGAAATACTTCATCAGTTTGCACATGACTGAGTTTGGATAAAAACCAAAAAAATTATAACACAATGAACATGACAGATTTAAATGTTAAAAGGACATTCTGAAAGAAATAATAAAGTCTTTCATGTACTTACAGGTAATCCTGGTGGTCCAGTGGGTCCTGGAATTCCAGGAAGACCTGGATATCCCTTTAATAAGAGGAAAAATACGAGAAACATGAAATTTTCAACACACCTAATTATTTTCATTGAAAAAAATAACCCATGGAACCATAAATTGGAACACAAAATGATACTTTTATTTCTTTCTCATAGCTAAGATCCAGGAGACCACAGGGAATGTTCTGAGAGTAAACCACATAAATAAATAACACACTTAGCCTAAAAAGTATATATTTATCAGTAGATCTTCTTTCTAGAAATTAAAATTACTAGCTAGAATCACACATTTTAGACTATTGACAAAAGAACATTAATTTTATTTTTCTGTAGGTGTTTTACAATAAGCTTAGATACTTGTATAGATTAAGGTATTTAACCTTATAACTCACAGAAAAATCAAGGAATTGTATGATTTAGGAAAGTGGATGTGTCAAAATAATCTAGTCTGTGAGATGTTGCCATAACACTTTGTGGTATTATCATTGATTCAGAAAAAATATCTTGTTTTTGTAAGGTGTTAAAGGGTCAACTATGACTTATAGCAACCCTATGAACAACAAACAGACCTGAACCTTGTCCTGTCCTGTACCATCTTCATGATCTCCAACACTGTCAAATCCATTGTTACAGTCACAGTGCAAATGCACCTTGTTGAGAGTCTTCTTTCTCTGTTTCTCAACCTTTCCCAGAATGATGTCTTCCTCTAAGGTCTGGCCCCTCCTGACAACACGCCCAAGGTATATTAGAGGAAGATCCACCATCCATCCTCTAAGGAGCACCAGGGTTGTGCTTCATCCAAGACAGATTTGTTTGTTCTTTTGGAAGTCCATGGGATATTCAGTCCTCTTCACCAACATCATAATTCAAACTTATTGATTCCTCTGTCACCCTTATTCATTATCCAACTTTCTGATGTATATAAAGCAACTGAAAATATCAGTGCTTAGATTAAGTGCCCCTTCATCTTTAAACTGACATATCTTCTACTCTTAAGCATGTTGGGTTTTTTCTGTCATTTTAAAAATTAATTTTAATAAACATTTACAGAGATTTGGATTTCCATTCATTCACTGCCGCACTTTTCTCCCTGCCCACCCCTCCCCACCAGTTCGCTCCCCTCTCTGAAGAGAAAAAGAAAAAAAAGAAATTCCTTCATTGGTATACAATTCCCCCATCCCTTCCTCCTCATCCCCCACCCCAAGTACACTTCTCTATGTAACCTTAATTCTGGATTCCTGTGCTCACCATAATACTCAATTGTATATTGACTCTAATCTGTTCTTTCCCTCATCTGTTTAAATATAGTATACATAATTTATCCAGTTTTTCTCAGTCTTACCCCAACCCTGATGTCAGACCCATTCTACAACAGTGGCACCATGCAGTATTTGTCCCTTTGTGACTGAGATATTTCACTCAGCATATTGTCCTCCAGGGTCACCCATTTTGAATAATATTGCATGAGTTCCTTGTTTTTCAATGAGGTGTAGTATTCTATTGTGTGAATGTACCATAGCTTCTCTATCCATTCTCTATCCACTCTTAAGCACTTTGAACAAGTCCTTCACAAGAGATTTCCCCAAGGAAGAAATTCTTTTGTTTTCTTGACTGCTGTTACCATAGATGTTGCTTTGGATTCAAATAAAATGAAATCTTTACAACTTCAATCTTTTCTGCATGTATCATGAAGTTGTCTATTGGCCCAATGGTGAGAATCTCTTACAAGGTAACTACTGTTAAAATTAAATTTATAGATATGTTAAATTTCTTACCTGAAGTAATTGGAGAAATCTAAAAAAACACCTCATAAAGTATTTATAATTATACAGAAGTTAAAATTGAAGAGTCTCTTTATAAAATGAATTTGAACATATTATATGAGCCACCAGATTATCAAAACATATTTTCTTCAAACAAGATTGCCTTATTGGTAGTCATTTGTTCTAATTCTATCATATTTGCAAATTGCTTAATAAAAATAAAACTTGTGTATAAAATTTGTCACTTATCTTAAAGATATGAGAATAAGATGACTTCTAAGTTCTGAGTTCATGTGTGAATCATATAAAACAAAAACATAGATGAGCAGCAACCCTGTTTTATACACACACACACACACACACACACACACATACTAACTACATATAAAATTGCTGTTATTGTGCGCTGTTGAGTCAGAACCGACCCACAGCTAACCCTCCAGTGGGTTTTCTGAGGCAATTTAATCACACAGGAGGAGATTGCCCATTCTTCTCTGGTGGAACAGCTGGCAGTTTCTAACCACATGCTTTTGAGATTGCGGTACAGCTTCTTACCACTAGGCCCCTAGGTATGAAGAATAAACAGAATCCAAATTGATTTTTCTTCTTTCTTTCATCGAAGTTCTTTTAAAATTGTATAGTTACTCCTTACTCATTGACTATCCTGTTATCTAACATTTCACATTTACATTCATAGTGAAAAGCCTCTGTCCAGCTAGTTTGTGCATTAACAACTGTTCATCTGGAAGTAAAAAATGTGAAGTTTGAAGGCAAGAGTAATTGTTATTCTGATGATTGTATGTCCACTGTTCTTGACTATGATTTTCAGTGTTTTAATAGTTATGTAATGATGCAGTTTGTCAGTTTTTATAATTTAATTTCACAGTTATAAAATGATGTATTCTATCTCATATAATGATCAGATGTGATCGTCTTCCATTTTCAAAGAATGCAAACTTGTACATCATGATCTGGTCATTGGAACCTAACCATGTCAATAACTCGTTAAGTGAATAATGAGTGTAGAATATTTTACAAAGTCATCTGAAATGCATGCTTTTTACTAACATGCTATTTTGAAGAATAAACTAATTTAACTTTAATAGAAATATAAAATAACACTTTTCATTGCCTTAAACTTAAATTAAGGCAATTTCACCCTGTTGTGGTATTGCTGTATACCATTGAGTCAGAATCAACCTATAGATGAACCTCTGGTGAGTTTTTAGAACAGTTAATAGCATAGGAGGAGAATGCCCACCTCTCTCTCATGAAGCAGATGATGGATTTGAACCATGTGCTTTTGGGATTGTAGCTCAGCTTCTTGCCACTAGGCCACCAGAGATACTTTAACTAGTTTAGGCTTGGAAACATGCTTTTCAAGTAACTGAGCTGAGTTCTTACCATAACACCTTTATTTCCCTGAGGTCCCAGTGGACCTGGACTTCCACGATCTCCCTTTTAAAAGAAAAAAAAGAGAAACATTGAAGTATATTGGTATAGTTAAGATTGATTTTAGCCTTCATAGAAAAAAATACCAGTCTGAATCAGATACTACATTTATATATCACCATAATTTTGAATTATTTGAAAATTTACAGATTCTTTATTTTTACTCTCAAACAGCTAGGTCCTAATATGTTTTCCACTGGTAAAGATTAGTAAAAGTGTTATGCAGATATGAGATACTCAAGACTAAAAATTGAGTATGTATTATAAAGTTTAAAAGAATAAAATTTTTAAAAATTGAATAAAATATGAGAATAATAAAAGCATTAAAGTACAGCATAAAACTAACTGCTTAATTTGCATAGTTCCTGAAAAAAATTATTTTTCTAATCTGTTCATGAAAATTGTCATAGAAATATTTTTAGAGACTTATGATAATCAAACCAGTCATACCAGATTAAAAAGGCTAAATTGATTTGTGTTAATATTCTGTGAATTATTAAAATTTTAGTACTGAAAATGTAACCACGGAAACAGTAACTAAATTAGAATAATAATTTTTAGTAATCCCTTTGCTGTCATTGTGCGATATCAAGTTGGAATTGACCTATAGATGACATACCAGTAAATTTCAGAGGCAGTAAATTGCATGGGAGGAGACTGTTTCTCCCACAGAGCTGACTGGTAGATTTGAACCATGTACCACTGGCATTACAGCACAGCTTCTTACAACTATGGGACCAGATCTCCCTTTAAAACTATTGAAAAGCTTGCTGTCAGAGATCTCTCCAGAGTACTGAAAAAGAACTCTGTCAGTCTAAACACTAAAGTGTTTCTGGTCTTCACAATTGCTCGCTATGAATCAGAAAGGGATGATAGAAGGATCATTGATTCCTTTGAGCTGTGGTACTACAGTATTGACTGCTGGGAGAACAAACAAGTTTATCCTAGAGAAGGTTTTTAAAATCAGGTTGCTCCTTGGATGCAAAATTTCTGAAATCCCATCTTACATACTTTGGATATGTTACAATGAAGGATCAGTCCTTGGAGAGTGACATCATACTTGGAAGAGTAAAGTAACAGCACAAGAGAGGAAGACCCTGGATGAGATGGATTGACTCAGTGACTAGGGTAAAAGAAGTAGGTGTGTCAGAGACAATAAGGGTAGCTAAGGATAGAGTGGGCTTCACAGCTTTTTTTTTTTTTAAGGTTGTGTTTTCAGGGAATGATGGCTACTTTATTCCTGAGCATTGAATTACATCATTATATATATGCCAAATTACAGAGAGTCATAGACACTTAAATAATTTTATCTCTCACGGTGACCATTATTATTTGTTTTAAATTTTATACTGGTTTACATACAAAGTTCATGAAGTTCTTATATATTTTTTCACATTGGATCTTTCCCCTTTCATTTACCCATCCCTCCCTCCACCTGTCAAAATGTGTGATTCTATGAGTAAGCACTCCCTCCACTCCTTGGACCTTCATACTCATCCTGCAATAATACATGACCAGTATTTTTGCTTTCCATAGTGGCTTTTGCTATTGGCTGTCATATTCCAGTAATATGCAAAATATTCAGAAAGTATATTTTTTGCTATTGTTATAAGTAGGAGTTGCTTCACAGCTTTTATACATAAGATCACAATGAGTTGCAAGTGACTTGATGGCACATAACGAAAACAAGTTTCTTACCTGAATTCTTATAATGTGGGTTTTTTTAGTCAAGAAAGCACAAATACAGTCCCTCACTACTACAAATTAGGCAGTCAGTTTCTGTGCATTTGGGGAAATGGATAAGCCTCGCTCTACAGGAAAAACCACCCATGTGATCATGGTTTCTCTCCTGCCAGAGAAGTATCAAGTCCCCATTTCTAAGATATTAAGTTAGCATTATGGGATAGATAAAAAGAAACCAAAATGTTGCCGTTAAGTAATTATTTTTTCAAAATAAAAGTTTATTTTAATTGTGATTTTAAAGAGTGCTTACAGAGGCCTTCAAGTAATTTTTGTGTGACAATGTTAAAAAAAAAAAATAAACCCTTTGAGGATGACTGAATTTTAAACTCTGTTGTACTTATTCTAAATCCAAAAGAGCAAGATTGTAAGATTAGAGAAGCCTAAGGAGACTTCATGGAGAAAATGAGAATTTGGCTGACTCTTGTTAAGTCTCACTGTTTGGGGAAAACCCACTGCCTTGAAGTTGATTCAGATCCATAGTGATCCTTCATCAGCTGTCTAAGTCTTTGAATATTTATGGGAGGACACTGCCTAGCTTTCATCTGTGAAAGACCTAGTGAATTCAAACTGCTGACCTTAGGGTTTGCAGGTTGCCCATTAAGAACTATACCATTAGGGCTTCTAAAAGAAAATGTGAATATGTACAAGGAGAGAGAAGAAGATCTATATTAAAAATATTAAAGAATTTGCTCTTTTAACTAAATAAGTCAAAGTTATACACTATCTTGATAGCAAAGAAGTTTACAGGATTTACAACAGTGAGTCCACTAAGATTTTTCAACATATTTCATCATCACAACCTATCTCTGATATATGATGCAGGCTAGACTAGAAGAAGAAGAAGAGCAAAAGAGTAGAAAATTCCTGGCACAGTAGAGGATATATTTAGGCATGAAATAATAAGGGTATATACATATATATAACAGAGTGTAGCCTAGTGGCAAGAAGGTGTGCTGAAATCCCAAAGACGTTCATGGGCAGTCTCCTCCCGTTCTTATTAACTGCCTCTGAAAACCCACCGGAGGGTCAGTTATGGGTCAGTTCCGACTCTACAGTACACAACAACAACAATGGAAATGTTGAACTGTAAAAGTGGATCCATAGGAACTGCTCAAAGCTTTGACAGAGAAGATAAAGGAAAGGGAAAAATCCAAGTTGGGTTCACCCTACCTATTTTGGAAGATGAGGTGTGTTGGAATGTGGGAGAAAATAACAAAGTAAATTTTAGAAATGTTGAGTTTTAGTTTAAAATTTAGAAAGAAATAACTAGGATATTATCTAGTTTAATATATAATTATACTATGTGGTTACAGTCATATGTCCTATAATGTCTATGATATTGTTATTATGTGCCATCAAGTTGTCTGTGACCCATAGTGACCCCATGTACATTAGCTTTGAAACTTGCCCTATCCTGAGCTAATATGATTGTTTCAGACCTAATTCCATTATTCTAGTAACTGAGTCAATCCATCTCATCTTGGGTCTTCCTTCTCCTGTGCTGTCTGTCCTCCATTCTTCCAAGTATGATGTCCCTCTCCAAAGACTGGTCCTTCCTGGCCATGTCACCAAAGTATATGAAATAGAGCCCCAACATCCTTGCCTCCAGGAAGCATCCTGGTTTCACTCTCTCAAGGGCAGAATTGTTTGTTCTCCTGGTAGTCAACAGTAAGTATGTTCAACTCTATTTTCTGGCACCATAACTCAAAGGCATCCATCCTTCTTCTATCATGGTTAGTTATTGTCCAGATCTCTGGTGCACAGCGAGTAATTGCAAAGACCATGACCTGGATCAGGCACATTTTAGTCTCCAGAATGACATCATTGCTCTTCAGTATTCTAGAGAGGTCCCTGACAGAAGTCTTTCCCAATGCAAGTCATCCTTTGATTTCCTGACTGATGATGCCAAGAGTGTTGATTGTGGAACCAAGCAAGCTGAAGTTACCAACAGTCTCAATCCCTTCTTTAGCCATCATGAAGCTGCTAATAGATGAGAATGTTTGTTTTCTTGATGTTGATATTCAATCCATATTGAAGACTACAGTCCTTGACCTTCTATAGCAAATTTGTCTCATGTCCTCTTCAATTTCAGCAAGCAAGGTTGCGTCATCTGCATAACACGGGTTATTGATGTTATGTGAGAAAGGAAGTTATATGTTTGCACATTGTATGAACATAATATCATAGTTGGGCATAGTGTGGACGTGGTATCATGGCCTAATACGGCTTTTTTCCTTTAAGCATCTTGAGCAAGCTCCATGATTTTGTAGAAATCATTACATGCTGAAGATGATTCACTTTTGGTCTTGATCCTCAATCCACATCATTAGCAAGTTCCTCTCACATTTTTGTTAGCTTTGTGGCTTTCAGTGGAGCCAATAGTTAACTGGTTGGAGAAATTTTTCTTTGTTTTTGAGGACCATTTTGACTATTGCGTATAACATGATGATAGTATTCACTGTTTTTCCATCCTCGTGTTTTAATAACCTTGTTTTTCACTCCCAAATGGATACTTCTCCTCTACCTCTTGCTGCTGCTATCATGACAACTAGTTCTGCTCCTTTTGGAAGGCATAATGTACTTCATAGTAATAATTTTGAAAAAAATCATAAACAGAGAGGTGATGATGAGATGGATTGATATAGCAATCGGGGTGATGGGGGCTGTGTTGGAGTTAATGAGACTGGCTCAGGACAGGGAAGAGTTCAGAGCTTCTATACATGGGCTTGCTAGACATCACAGGCAATTCATCACAGGCACATAAAAACAATAACATATTTTGAGAGGCTTGGAGGCAAGAGTGGCATCTACTTCTTAAATAACATGCCTCCGAAACCCTATGAACTTTGATAAATGTCGATAGTTGTACAGGGGCTTCAGGCCTTTTGTTCATAGGTTGCTATGTGTGGTGCTCGACTTGAAGGCAATCAACAACATCAATGCTTTTACACTCAAGACACACATAAGATCAATGTTACTGCTTGTAAAGCATACAGTGTTACTTGATAAATTTTTGTAGATAGCAAGCTTACTTCATGCATATGCCAGTAACATGGGTATTCATTTATATATAAATTATAGATTAAATGTATACTGTACACCTGAAAGAGTATTCACTTTCTACGTAAGACACATGAGGTGTATGTATTGTATGTGGGATGTTGTCAGGTTCACTATGTTTCATTCTCTGATTGAGATATGCACTCTATTAAAACCTTATGTGACTATGGTTATATATGTGGTTGGCCGTAGCCTGAATGGATATTATACATAGAATGACTGTATTTGCAACAAGCAGCCTTTTGCAAGAACTGTAGCAGGCTACAGTTTTTACAATTTATATTCTACAAGCCAGGTTTTTGTCAATGATACAAACTTTATGGTTTTATTTTCCTTTTGACCATTTTAAAGATTATATAGTATACATTAAAAACATGAAATATGTCATTGCTGGTTCCAATAACAGCTTTAAAAATATTTCCTAAATTTGGAGTTCTACATGGAAAATCACTCTTGGGATAATAATTTCTAGGTAATGTTGAATCCAATTACAATTTCCATCATAACATCCAGCTTTACTCAAGAATAACTGCCTACTGGATTCCAAATGGAAATAAAGAGATTGTGACCGAGACTTGGATCAGAAAAAGTTACAACTTAGTCTTCTCTTTAAAAACTGTTTCCTATGGGGAGTCTGTTGTCATAAAACAGATTTAAATCATATTTTCCAGTCATAAATAAACTAGATTTCCAGTTTTACCTTTTCAGATTACAACTTTCCAAACAAAAAAGGTACTCTTCTCTTTAAAATATAGAAATAAATATGCTTTCATTGAGAATGGAATGTATTTAAGAGATTCAGTAGAAGCAGTATGTTAAAAAGTTATCAGTGATTTATCATTAAAATACTGTCTATGAGGAATCGGCATCATGAAAAATAGCTGAGTAGGAAGTTCCAGGTGTCAATCTCGCCACCAAAACAACCATTAAACTGGAAACAATCATTAGAATTAGTTGCTTTTGATTCTGGAGATTGATCAAACAAAGCAAGCAGGAAAATGCTTGATGTAGAGTGAAGCTACTGAATACTGGCAAGAGAGTGATATGAGAGCCTGCCAACCTACCCCATTATCTAGCTCTGCTATAGCTGTGAGATTGGCAGCCTTCTTTCCTAAAGAATCTGATGTTGTAATGCATAGCAAGTTGTGCTGCTAATTCAAAGGCGGCACCTCTCTGGTAGTTCAAATCCACCAGTGGCTCCAACGGATAAAGAAATAAAATCTCCTCCCATGTGATTACAGCCTCCAAAAATGTTTTGAAGAGTCAACTAAAAGTTGGTTCTGATGTAATGATAAGAAGAGTGGAGTCAGTGTGAGCAGTCAGGACTCTTTCACATATTTGGGACTGCATGCTTTAGTTGGATTGGTAATTTACTAAGGAACAATAACAGATCAATAACATACACTTGACTTTGTTTTGGTCTACTTTGACTAAAGCACATTTCCCAAGAACATCTACAGGAAAATTTAAAGTTTTCGTTGATGTTGCTAGTTTTGTGTGATGTTTGGGGTTTTTTTTTTAATGCAGACATTTAAGGGAATTTCTGTCAAGTTACAGACTGATCACAGATAACAGAACAGAAATTTAGTATTCATACACAATAAGAAACAGAAATTTTGCAATGGTTTAGAAAAGCTACTATGTAAATGGATGAATACAGCCCACAAAAGCAAGAAAATATATACCTGAGAAAGGGGATAATCTGATTTTGAGAATTATTATACTATAATACTAAAAATTTCCAGCTCTTAAAAAAAGTTACAAGCACAAAAGAAATAAGAAAATACATCCCATGTATAGGAAAAAAAAAATCTCTCACTCCAAATTCAACAAAAAACTGTCTCTGAGAATGCGTAGAAATTAGAATTCTCGCAACTGGATCAATAGACAAGATCATGACCGTGAAATGTTTAAGTTGTCAGTGTTTCCATTTTACTTGGATTCACAATCAATACAAATGATAGAAGTATTAAGAAAATATAAGATACGCTGTTGTTGATGTAGTGTACCATCGAGTCAGAACCTATCTGTAGCTGATCCTCTGGTGGGTTTTCAGAGGCATTTAATCATACACAGGAGGAGATTGCTTATCCTTCACCCACAGAGCAGCTGGTGGATTTGAACCATGTGCCTTTGGTATTGCAATATAATTTCCTATCTCTAGTCCACCAGAGCTCTCTGCCACAGCAGAAATAAAAAGATGTACTACATTGGGCAAATCTGCTGCTTAAGACCGCTTTAAAGTGCTACAAGGAAGGATATCACTTTAAAGACTAACATGCATTTGCTAGAAAGCATAATATTTGCAATTGCTTCATATTAATTTTAAGCCAATGACCAAAGACCAAAGAATTGATGTCTTTGAAGTGTGATGTTGGAGAAGAGTGTTGAATATATCATGAACTACCGAAATGACACATAGAATTATTTTTAGAGAAAGTGCAACCAGAATTTTTCTTAGAGACAGGATGATGTAACTTCATCTCACATACTTCGAATATGATATCAGGAGGCTCCAATCCTTAGTGAAAGGCATCAAACTGGGAAAAGTAGAAGGCCAGTGAAAAACCTTTCAAAATAAATTGACATAATGACTTGATCATGATAGATTGTGAGGAAAGCACTGGATAGGGTATGGTTTCAATCTGTTCATAGCGTCAATTTGAGTCACAGCCAACTTGAGATGGTATCTAGCAAAAACAGTTAAAGATGTTAAATCAAATGCCTCAAGATATTCTCAACTCTTGGAATATATTTAAAAAAAATGAGAACTGAGGCACAAATAGAGAATTGTACACCAATGTTCAAAGCAGCATTATTCATCATCACTAGAACACGGAAACAGCCCAAATGTCCAGCCACAATCTAATGGATTGAGAAATTAGGGTACATACGCATGATGGGATACTACTCAGCATGCAGGAACAATGATTTTGTAAATTAATACCTAATTTGGGAGGGACTGGAGAGCATTATGCTAAATGAACTAAATCAGTCTCATAAGAACAAATACTGTATAAAGCCATTATTGTAGAAATATATAACTAGTAAACCATGTATGAAGATCTATGGGGTGAAGAGTGAGAGCACAGGGGTAAGGATGGGTGGTGGATGTAATCATAGGGTCACACAATTTGATGGGTGGAAGGAGGAGTGGTGGGTTAAGGAAATGGGAAAGATCAGGTGTGAAAAACAATGTACATGGAATTTGTAAGTAAAGCAGTATAAAATAAAAAGTTTAATAATCTCAATGAGTTAAAGGACACCATGTTGTTGTTGTGTGCCATTGAGCCAGCATGAACTATAGCTGACCCTCCAGTGGGTACTCAGATGCAGTAATTGCATGGGAGGAGATTGCCCATCCGTCTCCCATGAAGCAGCTGGTAGATTCAGACTATGCCTTTGGGACTGTAATGTACATTCTTACCACTAGGCCACCAAAGGACGCCATAGGTAAAAGCTAAAGGAAATCAAGGAAAATATGAATGAACAACATGGAATGCCAAGGAATAAAGTAGAAATTCTAGAGCAGAAAAGCACAATAGATGGAACAAATAAGCAAATAATAACAACAATAAAATTAAAAATCTCAAAACCATAGCTTTAAGTAAATAGCAAAAGGAATCCCTATACTTAAACATAAGGTGGTTGATATTTTCCTCAGGCAATATCAGAGAAGAGAGGGACACGCAATCACACACCCCCCTCAAACTTCTCCAGTTCAATAAAAGACATGGTCCTACGTATCCAAGAATCTCTACAAACTCCAAGCAGAATAGTGTCAAAGAGCCAAATTGAGAGTATTAGAACTGCATTGTGGAAAATAAAAGAAAAATACTATTCAAAACAGGAAGAGAAAATTATGTGTCACATACCAAGATTACTCAATAAGATTAACACCTAATTTCACCTCAGAAATCATGGAGGACAATGGGCAGGAGTCTGGCTGGATAGAAGGGAAAGTGGAGAGTTTATTGCTTAATTACAGAATTCCTGTTTGAGCTACTGACAGTTTCAGAAGTAGTATGGTTATACAATACAGTGAATATTAGTGAATGCTAACTAGTGCCACTGAGAAAGTTTTTAAAAAGGGAAATTTTATGTTATACATATTGTACCACAGTTGAAAATGTCATATAAATGTCTCTTTTCTATGTTTAGTCTTGAATGCTTATGATTAAGTACAAAAATAGAGTAAGTTACCTTTTCACCAGTGCTCCCAGGCATCCCGACTTCTCCAGGTAAACCAACAGGTCCCTTTTAGGAAAAATATAACAGAAAATACAGATGTATTACATTGCTCTTTGTCTTAAGTAAATCATATGCAGCATTTATGTTTTTAACTCATTCTAACCTTGGAATAAAATTACTCCTATTATATGTACAAGGAGATCTGGTGGTTTAGTGGTAAGTAGTTAAATCGCCAACGCAAAGGCATGTGACCTTAAACCACTAGCTGCTCCATGGAAAAAAGATAGTCAACTTTCTCCCTTGTGATTTACTGCCTCTGAAAATCCACTGATGGGTCAGCTATGAGTTGGTTCCAACTTGATATCATATAATATTACAAGTGTACAGATTATTTTTTCACAGTAGAATTTATTAGTCTATTCAGTCATCACCAAATATATGAGTCCTTCATTTGTGACAAGGGAGCTCTGGCGGCATAGTTTATAGAGACTGTGGCACTCTTCCAAATGCTGTGCCTCTGATGGTCCAGTTTGCCAGTTGGTCCTTGGAAGAAAGGTAGGTAGGTAGGTAGTTTCCTTACATTGCAATTAACAAACTCACAAACCTGATATTGTTTTTATGTACTATGAAGCCAGAACCAACTCATAGCTGACCTTTTAGCAGGTTTTCAGAAGCAGTAAATTGCACAAGAGGAGATTGTCCATCTTTCTTTTGCAGAGAAGCTGGTTTGAATTGTGTCTTTGTGGTGGCTATGCAATTCTTTACCACAAAGCCAGTAGAGACTTAAACCTGATAGATAGTTGCTGTGAGTCAGGGCCAACTTTACAGTAATGCGTTTGAGTCTGAGTTCTTGAGTTTGTACCATGGTAGGAAGCACTGAGTTTCAAATCATGAAGAAAATAAACATAATCTCTACTCTCATGGAGTTACCAATCTAATTAACGTTGTAAAACCCCTGCAGTTTTTTATAACTATTCAATATAGGCACATTAGTCTTAGAAATTAGGGAGCTCCGGTGGTCTAGTGGCAAGAAATTGCTTTGTCAATTTAAAAGGTAATACAGTCTAAAAGTGATATATGATAGCATATGATTATCACAGGAATCCAGAATTAAGGGTGCATAGTGAGTGGTGTGCATTTGGGGCTGGGTAGGGCAGGGTGGGTTCGGGAGCATTGTATACCAACAAAGAAGTTTATCTTTTGCTTTTCAAAGAGAGGAATGAACTGGGGGGAGAGGGATAAAGAAAAAAGTGCAACAATAAATGAATGAAAATCCAAAATCTCTGTAAATGTTCATGAAAATAAAGTAAAAAAAAAAAGGCAGGCAGCTTGAATTCATTAGCTGCTCAGTGTGGAAAAGATGGACAATCTCCTCCAATGCAATTTACTGCCTCTGAAAACTCAGCTCAGAGGAGGGTCAGCTATGACTTGGTCCTGGTTTGACAGTACACAACAAGAAGTCTGATAAGTTATTTCTGTTATTCTTTGTAAGCACCTCAAAACATGAGCAAATAGCTCATTCCCATTAATTAATTTATTTTCTAAAACATATTTAATGCTATAAAAAGAGCAAGAGTAAGATGAGGAAAATTGAGTCTGACTTCTACATGCTTCATGAAGGGAAACTTTTATATCCATAAAACCACACAAATAACGGCATAGTAGACATATAACCTCAAATGCTCCTGCATCTATTTTTATGAATCATTTTGGTTCAATGTTTGTTGCAACTAGATTCATAGATTACTCACAGTTGTGAGGTTTGTTAGGGAAATAGTTTCAGGAATAGGAGAGGCAAAAAATATTACATAATGCAAGTCCAGGTTTAGTCTAGCAGTCCCAAGCCAGATAACAAGGCACAATTCTTCTATTCGTTAAGACAGCTTCTAAGTCAACAAATCAAAGTCTAGGTTCAGTTCAGCAGCACAAATGAACCTCTGATTTAATCAATTAGTCCACCAAACTTTATCTCAAAGCAGTTACAAGTCAACTTTTTTTTTTTGTGGGAAAAAATTTGTATTTAGAATTAGCCAGCTGGACTCAGTTTAGATGGTCCCAATTTTGCTGGCAAAATCCAAAACATCATAGTCAGGAGCAAGTCAAACATGGGCCTTCTTCTCTCCATCAGGCCTAAGCAAAGTGTTGATCTTGGCCACATCAATGTCATAGAGCTTCTTTATAGCTTGTTTAATTTGGTGCTTGTTGGCCTTGACAACCACAATGACCACAAGTGTGTTGTTATCTTCTATCTTCTTCATGGCTGACTCAGTGATCAGGGGAAATTTGATGATGGCATAGTGGTCAAACCTGTTGCCTTCAGAGTCTCAGCATCTTAGGCTGCCGGAAGGTGGGTGATGTGTGGATCTTCTTCTTCTTTTTTTTTTTTTGGCTCTGGATGCCCTTCAGGACTGCCTTCTTGGCCTCTAATGCCTTTGCTTTGACTTCAGTTTTGGGAGGGGCAGGGGCTTTCTTCTTCACTTTCATTGCGATCTTCATAGAAAGGCCAAGTCAACTTTTTCATTAAATTATCCAGCAAGACAAACCTTTAACTGTAGTTCAATCTCCAAGGTTCTTCTGGTTACATCTTGCCACAGGAGGGGCAAGTTAATTCATAGCAGTGCCACAATCTCTTCACCCTCTCTCCACCAGTCTCTCTCAAAGTGTCTTTACAATTCCCTTCACTGTGTGGAAATAATTCTCTTATATTGGTCCCACAGCTGTTGATGATTTGCAAGACCACCTATCTGCAGTTATCTGAAGACCATCCCCCACAACGGAGGCTAACACAATGGTTAGAAAAGTCTGTTTTCAAGGGTTTTGACACCCCAGATGTCTACTTTGTTTCAGATATTATGATATCTGAAAGTGATTTCTTTCTAGCAGTTTGAATCCACCACTAAGTCTGTGGCAGAAGATGGACACTATCCCCCAGTGTGATTTACAGCCCTCGTAATCCAATGGACAGTCAGCTCTGACTCAATGACATTGAGTTTGAATGTGCAAGTGTACATATTCACATACATACATAAATAAACATGCACCTACATGTATACACAGTAAAGCTGCAGAAATCAGAAACTGTGTAAAGCAGAAGCCTGTTAAGAGAAGGAAAATGCAAATATTTTTCACTAAAATTGTCAGCAAGAAAATAGGATAAAGGAAGAAATATTTGAGATCCAGAAAAAGAAGGCAGTTTTATAAATTGCGGCTTTCACAGATTTTAATGTTAAATTACTTTTTCCCATTAATGTGTTGTGTAATCTTTGTCTCACAACACTCTACACATTGTTTTATTTCTATGCTCTCTGCACTTTGTATTAATTGCTTATCTGCTTTTTTTCCTTTGCATAATGTTTTAAAACTGTCCTGACAATAGAAGTCTGAGACAGGTGTGAATTATCAGTTATTGTTAGTTGCCATTGAGTTGACTATGACTCATAGCAACTCTATGAACAATGGATCAGAGGCTTACCCTATCCTCTGGATCCTAATCATCCCTAACATATTAGAGGCCATTGCTACAGTCATTTTTGTTGATCTGTCTTGGTCTTCTTATCTTTTACTGACCCTCTACCATTCCAAGCATGCTGTTCTTTCCCAAGGACTGGCCCTTCCTTAGAACAAGCCCAGAGTATGTGAGTTCACCCCCTATGCCTCTATTCAGCACTCTGATTATACTTTCTCCAAGATAGACTTGTTGGTCCTTTTGGCAGTCCAAAAAAAGTATGAAATGTTCTGTACTTTTCTCCAACATTCAAAGTTAAATTATTAGTAGAGAATCAGAAGTCAACATCATTAAATCTATGTTGTTGTTGTTATGTGCTGTCGAGTCATTTGCGACTCATAGCGACCCTATGCACAACAGCCCTAAACCCTGCTCTATCCTGCGCCAACCACACCGCCTCTGACACACCCATCCCGATTACCCCAGTCACCGAATCAATCCATCTCACAGAGGGTCTTCCCTTCCTGCGCTGTCCCTCCACCCTCCCAAGCATGATGTCCCTCTCCAAGGACCCGTCCTAAATCTATGTACTTTATAAAATAAGTTTGTGTCTTTTTTTTTAACTGAAACTGCATAGTTAGGAAACAATAACTGACTTAGGTGGATATATGTAGAGCTGAGCTTATCAATCAAATTTCCTTATGTATGTGGATCTTACATGTACATTTATTTATAATACTGGTAAAAGGAGTGTTTTGAAAACAAGGTAAGAAATAGTAAATAAAATACTTGGCAAAATTAATTGAGATTGAGATGCAGGTACACATAGGGTTATAGACTGGGAAATATGAATATACTATTGAAGTCTTTGAATGCTGAACCAGAAATTTGTGTCATGGTGGACACAGAGATGAGACACCATGATCTCCCTTTAAAGTGGCTTTTTGTGCCTATATTAGATTCTTCATGGTTTAGGCCTCAGTAAAGAGGCTTATATAGAAAAATAATTGTTTTAAGCAGAGATATAAAGGTCTAGATATTTTGGTAAAAATTGAGACATATGTGATGGATCTGAATTCTCCAGATTGCTCCAAAAGCTGGCTAAATTTTTGTAGAATCTATATTACACCTTAACTTTGCCCAATTCTAATTTCCCCTCTCCTCTTAATATGTAGTTGTTGTTGTTATGTGCCGTCGAGTCACTTGAGACTCATAGCGACCCTATGAATAACATCCCTAAACTTTGCTCTGTCCTGTGCCAATCACACCGAGTCTGATACACCCATGCCAATTACCCCAATCACTGAATCAACCTACATCATAGAAGGTCTTCCTTTCCTGTGCTGCCCCTCCACCCTACCAAGCATGAGGTCCCTCTCCAAGGACCTGTCCCTCCTTGTAACATGTCCAAAGTATGTTAGACAAAGTCTTAGAATACTTGCCTCGAAGGAGCAGCCCGGTTTGACCCTTTCCAGGATGAATCTGTTTGTTTTCCTAGCAGTGCATGGTACCCTCAATACTCTTCTCCAGCACCAAAGTTCAAAGGCACCAATTCTCCTTCTATCCTCCTTGGTCATTGTCCAACTCTCTGATGCATAACAAGTGATAGCAAAGATCATGG